ATGTCTTCATAAACCACCCTTGTTCGTCTTCATACAATATGTTGGGAAGTTGCAGTAAATATCAATACAATATGTTCTATATCCCTTTGTGTTGTGTCTCTCCTTCGTCTGTTAAGATAACTGAACATTTTGTGAGTCTTGAGGCATTGTCAGCCTTTATATCTCATTTGTAAATGCTTAATAAGCCATAGATAGTGCTCACTTTAGATGAGCTCACACAAAATACTTAATTAACGAGTAGTAAGTGCTTCGTAACTGCCTCAATTCAATGCATTAATAACTGTCTATATATATATATATATATATATATATATATATATATATATATCCATTGGAAATGAATTTTTTATGGAACATCTGCTAACACAGTCACTAATCATTAATACATGTCTGAATAGTGGATGTGCAAGTGCATGCAGAAATGTACATCTAAATAGTTTGTTCATCATTTACATACACTTTCTAAATAATATCACAAACCACTGACAAATCCTAAATAACTGGTTAGTAAGTGATGTAATACTTGATTTAGAAATGCTGAATCCATCATATATAAAATATGAAAATGCAATCATTAGCACGTTAAAGATGAGCTTATTAATGAAGAGTAAAACATGTATTACTGTGATTATAAACTACATATTAATGTGTATTCATGTCAGAAAAATGCGTTATAAATGATGAATTCAGTATTTATTAATACTTAACTAATGCTTAATAGTGTGTACTTTACTAGTAATTTTAAGTGACGCTAACTTAGTTTGTAAATTACAGATAATTCCTGATTAAGTACTTTTTACGAGGTATTTTGTTTTCACAATACAAATAAAAATTATAAAATTAAGTCAGTGTCAATTATTAAAGCTACTCCATCAAGATTGTTTTGTTTTTTTAACTTAGAAACTTGAGGTTGTTTTACTTAAGAAAAATTATGTAATCAGTTAAGCTAACTTATCTGTTTTACAGTGAAGCACACACACTTAGAACGTCAGGCTTTCTATGATACTGTTATACACAAATTCCATATATTCCAAACATATTCATATTGGTGTCAGTCACCATAATCTACAGTAGCATGACCAGCTGATCCCAGAACTCACAATTACACATTCATGATGACAAATTCATTTTTAGGTTTGTTAAACATAGAATGGTAAATGTATTGTAATGTACTTGTATAGTGCCTTTCTAGTCTTTGGACCACTCAATGCGCTGTACTCTACATATTTTGTTAAAAATAATTTACCTTACTTACTTGGATGTATGTACAATAACTCAGCCTTGGTACATGGGCGAGCTCTACTAGGTGAACTTTTTTTTATTTATTTTTTTACAGTGTATATTACATTAGCCACTTAAGGAAACTTCAACACTCAACATTTAAAATCATGTAATCATTCAACAGGAAAAAATTCTTCAACACCCGAAATAATGCTTGTATGGTGTGTTGTGCAGAGTAACTAAATGCTGCTTCTCCATATGTCTATCAACAGGAGGCTAGCTAAAACATCAAAAGTGCATGGGTGCAGGAAATACTATCTATTTGAATCAAAATACAGTGCATATGGCAATGTAAAAAGACAAAAATAAGATTAAGACTTTCTACATTTACACTTTCTAGCAATAAACAATGATGCTAACACCACTGCAAATATCTAATATATCAAAAATGGAGCGAAGCCTGCGAGCTAGTTCAGGCAGTCAACTCAAGCTGCGCTGTAATAAACATTTCAAATGAAATGTAAATAACAGTGTAGTACCAGGAAAGAGTGGGGTACAAGTTTATCAAATCCAACCATTTCAAGGAAACTACATTTGACATTTCAGTTTTGGTCCTTCCATAATTAATTGGATAAGACCCCTTCAGAAGAACTGTATAAAAAATATGGACAAACAATATTTGCATTTATATGGAACAATAAAACCGGAGTTCTTGTGCTTTCTCGTCTCGCAGGTTCTTATCGATCCTGGTGGAGCCTCCTGCCATGGTCCTGCTAGATTGCGTGACAGACAACCACCCACCTAGAGCCGGAGGATCTGTCCTAGGTTTCTGCCTTTTAACAGGCAGTTTTTCCTTGCCCTTGTCTCCAAGGTCTTGCTCATGGTGGTACTGTTGGGTCTCTGTAAATAATGTTATAAAGAGTTCGGTCTAGACCTGCTCTATTTGAAAAGTGTCCTGAGATAACTTCTGTTATGAATTGGCGCTAAACAAATAAAACTGAATTTAATTGAAATTGAATTGAAAATCAAAAGAGCATATTTATGCAGTACAAGCTAAATAAGGTGGCTTGAAACTTTTAAACTTAAAGGGATTAAATTACTCCATAAAACCATCTATCATACCACAATTAATCAACACTGGTTTTCTGAAAGATTACTTAAAAAGTGTTTTTACGTTTTTAAGTTCCATGTGTACAGTTAAAAGTTACCCATTTCAATCAACTAAAAAATTACTTTTTTTTCCATCAGTATCAGTTTTCACGGAAGATGCTATTGCAAAATGGCTGCAGTACCGGTATCACCCCCCAGATAAACCAGAGAGCAAGTTACATTATGGTTTCATATTTCTTTGCTGATTGATATTCGTCCCTATGAAAAGAAAAAAAATAATAAATGAATGAACTAAATAAAAATATATTATTTGTAAAGGGTCTAATAGATATCAACATGATAATTATGACTGAAGTGTGCACCATAAGAATAAAATAAAATAATAACATCAATACCTAATACCTGGAAAAATGCTATAGCTAAAAAACCAAGACAACAAGTGGTATGTCACCCACATATTAGAGACCTACCATGGCTGAATGGAAATGTCTGGGTAGGGGTGTATAGGTGTGTGTAGGTATTGTAAGTGATCCACTTTACTCAGATTGCCAACATAAATCTAGGTGCATATTTAGTTTGAAACTTGACATTTAACTTTGAAGTGGGTTAACCAGATGTGAAATGGAACAGAAAATTGTTTTAAACACTCTCAACTCAATTTCAGACATGTTGGTCAATTGAGCTGTTCACACCAGATGTGGAGAGGAACAGACTTTTCTGCGTCGTAATGAACCTGAGACATTTAATTGTGAACCTTGCGTTGTTAAAAAAGGAGGCATGAAAGTGAAATCAAAGTCAATGCTTGACCTACTGGTACATTATATGATGTATGTGAGCAAGTGCTGTCCTGAATTGTCAAGAAATGATTTGCCATACAGAGCAGGCACGACCTCTGGCCTGTTTTTGGATTATGTGAGTGGGAAGTTGGAAGTAGCATGTGCAGTCTCAATGCAGATTCAGTACATATCGATTTGACAATTATGTTTTGATTATTTTTTTTCTCCCCTGTTGCTAAAACAAGACTAGAAATATAGGTTGAGTTTATGACATTTTCTAAAAGAATATGAACCTCCCTGTGAGGGTGTAAATATACAATATTTGTATAAGCTACTCCCATCCCTCCTTTCCTCTACTAGAATCTAAATGGCTGCAATCACGCTTATCTAAATACCGTGTCTCCTTAGCCAGTGGCGCGCAGCTAAGAGTTACCTTTAACTCTCCTCATTTCTTCCCAGGAGCCTTTGCATAGCCTCATCAGCCAGTCAGCTGGCCTCGCAGAGAGCACGACTCTGCTCCACTTCTCTCTCCCATCCCGGGAGCAAGACACTATTTCCTTTCATTTTTCACCTTTCCCAGGGAAGCTTTGGGGTGCACTGCCAGCCTCAGAGAGGAAGAGATGAAGGGGAAGAGATGTCAGCTGCATTGGGGGACGCTCTCTTTATGGGCATTTTTAATAGTGACATTTTATATGCGGACACACCTCATATACTCTCTATTGAGCAGTGCCTTTTAAATAGACATCAGGGAGCCAAAGTGTTAAAGCAGGAGCTGATGAAACGAAATTCATCATTGTGGCCTCAAAGGTCTGGTACTAAAATGTTAACGCTTGTGTGATCCCCCGAGAGCAGTCAGGCTGTAGATTACATTATTGTGAGTGCATGGTTACCTTATTACAGTAGAGATACAGGCCTTTAAAGGGGAAACATCTCTTCATGTTCACTGTCAGCGCTGACTTATATGACATGTTCTACAGAGCAGTAAACACTGAACTGTCAAGTGTTGATAAGTGCTGCTTTTGTGGTGAGACAATTTAACTATAGCAAACACTTGGATAAATAAAAAAAAGGTTGTATAAACCCTTTTGTCTGTTTAATGCCCTCAGGTCACTTGAGTCAATGTCAGTTGGGACTGAGAGTCAGAAAGACCATAATTCTGTAGCTGCTCCTCACCTACAGTGGCTCCAGTGGCTTGTACTCTTCTCAAAAGTAATGCTATTTTTATTTTTACTTTACTTATTACTCCCTCCCAACAGTAATTAGTTACTCTACTAGTTGTATTACTTTAATGCTACTCCCCACAAAATTGGTAATTGTTTCTTTTCTCCCAAACATTCAGACACAAAATCCAGTTTTGTTTATTCAAATTAAAGTAATGGAATATTTCCAGCTGCTGAATGTAACTGTTTCCATCTTCCAAGCTAGTTTCCTTCATGATAACAAAGCTGAATCCAAGGATGTATTGGGCTGACAACTGAAGTAAGGTTGTAACTATTTATTTTTTGGGGGGTAACTGTACTACATTACCCGCAACTAGCATAACAGATGTAACCCATGTTAAAATATGACATAAATAAGAATAAATAGTTTAAAAGCTGCATAAAGTTTGAAAGTTAAAAGTGATTCATTTAATGTAAGTTAATTCATCAGAGTTGATTAAAAATGTTAATACAACAATAATTTAATGTTTAAGATTAAAAGTTTTCCGACAGAAAATTCATGTCGCTGCCCCTTTAAGGGACTAGTGACGCTAGACGCAGCACCTCAGTGACGCTGCAGCACCTCAGTGACGCTGCAGCACCTCAGTGACGCTGCAGCACCTCAGTGACGCTGCAGCACCTCAGTGACGCTGCAGCACCTCAGTGACGCTGCAGCACCTCAGTGACGCTGCAGCAGAGACCTGAGGGAGAGAGCAGAGGAGAAATCGGAGAGAAGGAGCGGTGGTTAATAAGCAGAGAAAATAGTGAAAAGGTTGATTTTGATAAGCATGTTGTATATTCCACCCTGAGAGAAGGCGACAGAGTCAGAAATGTCCGCCTAAGGGGTAAACATAAGCTAGCTGACAGGTGGGAGTCATGTTGTTTTGAAGCAATCTGGAGACATCCCAGTCTACATTGTGAAACGCGAGACTGGAGAAGGTTCACAAAGAACCCTTTAACGTGATCTATTGCTGCCTTGCGGTTTCCTTCCTACGACTCTTGTGGTAGGTGAAACCAGCACGACAAAGACAGTCAGGCGGCCAAGAACTCGACAGCACCCGTAAGGCAACAGCTTGGATGAATCTGATGGCGACAAATCCCAATCTGACACAGATGAATATTATCATGAAAAAAACCCTAGGTTTCAACCATACCTCTGAAACCATGGAACAAGAAATGACTGAACCAGAACTTCCCAAAATGTTGACTGCTGTTGAGCAAGATCTTCCAGATGTGGCTGAAGCTTTCCCTGAAGATGCTCCAGTAGACACTCTTGAGGAGGATAACCCACCTGATCTTGGAGAGGATAACCCACCTGATCTTAGAGAGAATAACCTACCTGATCTTAGAGAGAATAACCTACTTGATCTTGGAGAGAGTAACCTACCCGATCTTGAGGAGAGTGATTTGTCTGATCCAAAAGAAAGTCACTTACCTGCTGAACAGAAATCTGAAAACCTACCTGACCGGAGCACTGTCCATTCTCCTATTCAAAGCACACTGGAAAGTAACATAGAAAACATAGTTGAAGTCGAAACTGAACCTGAAGCTGAAAGAGACCTGAGGGAGAGAGCAGAGGAGAAATCGGAGAGAACGAGCGCTGGTTAATAAGCAGAGAAAATAGTGAAAAGGTTGATTTTGCAGTTGAAAAACATAACTTACCTGTTCATGAACTGACGGGGATTTCATGAGAACCAAGCCACACCGGTTTTGGTGAGTTTTGTGTTGTTTTCTCGCATTTTTGCCGTGTTGTACCTTTTTTTTCTCTGGCAGAGAGCTAACGCTAAAAACTTACTTTACAAGGAAATGCTTCGTCATAAACTGTTAACCAGTTAATATTTTGGGTTTATGAAGACTGTGAATGTTATAAAAGTGAATATATGCTGTGTAAATGAAAGATGTGTGCAGTAGTTTGTGTGGGAGACGGAGCCGTGAGTTAAAAGAGACCGCTCCGCCGCCATTTTTTGAGGTGAAAAAGCACCGTAGCAGTAACAGTACAACTCAGAGACTGTGAAACATTTATTTGTGCAATTTAAGGATTTAAAAGGAGATTTATTGTGCTTATGACCTGTTACACAGGTCAGGTTTTTTGATTGGTTTGAAGCTCGGTTGGAGCGAGGATTGGTCTGCAGTGTGCGGGCGTGCACTTACACAGATGGGATTCAAGATGGCGAGCCAGACCCAGACCTTCAACTCATCTTCTCCATCGCATCAGTGAGGAAATCTTCTGCGTATGGTGACTCGCTGCCAGAGTGGTAGGAGTATCAGGAATTGGTTTTGAACTGAACTGAGAGCTGATTGGATTATTAGTTTTGGACTGAATCGAACTGAAACTTTTCATTGAACTGAATAATTGAACTCACATTTGGACTTGAACTTGAATTTAAGGTGTCATACTTTTATTTTCATGTTGAGTTCATAATTTTGAATGTGATTTGAAATGATTGTGGTCCACTTTGATTCGATTGTGTAATTGAAGGTATTCTCTTACCTGTAAAAGAGAGAAAAGAGTTAACTCAGGAAGAAAAATAGGAATTCTAAAATAGGTGCAACCTAGGAAAAAGAGACTGGTCTAACTTAACTTAGATTAGCTTGACTAAAATAACTTAGGTAAACTAAAGAACAAAAAGAGAGTGAAATACCTTTTCATTTACTATACTTACCTCAATATTAAGAACCTGGAGGGTATTTTTGTTTTGTGTACTGTATTTTATGTGTGTTTTGCATTCAGTAAATTGCCGGCGTTTGTATTTAAAGCAACTATCTCTGGTGTAATTACTTTTGATTACTGAAACGAGTAATTTCATATTGGTTGTGATGCTCAATATAACGTAGCCACCAGTTTATAGCTGCTTCTTTTGGAATGTAACCTTTTAAGCCAGTGTTCATCATGTGTCGAATGCTATTGCTGTAATTACCTAGTTTGGCCACTATTCACAAATTAGCTTCAAAGCCCAGCTCTCTTCCTGGGGGCTTGGTTTCAACAAGAAAGAAGAATGCGTGGATTAAGAAAAGACAAATGATCTGATTCTAAATTTTATTCTGTTTGTCCATTGTGAGTCCAATAATGTTATAGAGGTGCAATGCTAAATGGATGGAGTAACATTTTAAAGACGTTTGGAGCAAGTAAGTGATGATTCTATATTCTTTGATGTGTAACCGTGGCAGTGGAAATCAGTCTTTTGCATGAGCACACAGTTTCACTTGACTGACATTAATGAAAAAGAATTATGCCTTTGCAAAGCTTTGTAATTCTGATGGAAATAATCCATATTCATGTTTACAGCCAAAGTTTCAGTAGGGGATCTATGCAGAGTTTTATGGTCCCAGCTCTGTACTTAACACAAAGACATTAGAACTGATATGGATCTAACTCTCAAAAAAGATGTGAATAGCTTGTTTGCAAAAATGTTGAAAGATTCCTCCAAACCTGGCAGTTTATAGAGGTGCTGTCACTGTAAACAGCGCTGTGAGAACTTACGACTCAAACTTTGACTCTGTCCCTCAGTAATTTCTGGAAAACATGTGCAATGGAGGTTTGACATTTCCTCGACTTTGTAGCATAATTAATTTACTGTTACAGGAAACACATTGTTCATGAATTCGCTCCTCCAATCATCTTAGCTGCCATGAAAACTGTTGCCAGGCATTGCATCACTGTGAGCAAATCTAATTTACACATGAAGAAAAATGTCAGTTACAATTATATTCACATCACTCTACAATGAGATCCCGAACTCATTAAATGCTCCTCCGGCTAGAAATAGCTTGTTGATTCATCACCTCAGTCTCTTAATGAAACAGAGGCCGTACCATGATTCCCTTGTACCATCCACCCTCCAGAACCTGCAGTGATTATCTCAGGTGCAGGTGTAGGTGGAAAGTGACATGGATACATCCAACTCGACACTAAGCTAGGTTTGTTTTGCCAGTGAGCTCCTGTGGTGTAGGTGACTCCAAGGTTCCTCTGTGGCTTTTGATTCCCAAGACCACCCGTGTAATCAGGCCGCCACTTCTGATTAACAAACACACCAATCACAAAACCCGGGGGTCATGCGAATGCAGCCCTGCAGGGGTAAACCATCCAATCAGACCTGTTCCTCTGGGCATCTGAAGATGTGTGGGCTCTCACACAGACAGGGAAAGTAAATCCTACAATTAGATTTAAGACCCATTAACAATTAAGTTTTCAAAGTTTCTGCTAAATCTGAGAATGCTGCTGTTGCATCAGTCCCTGGACCTTTAGCTTGTTCCCCATGCTCACAGTGTGAGCGCAGCTGCTGATGGATTGCTCTATTCTGACACATGGTGGGTGGTGTGAGGCTCTGATTGCATTTGTATGGTTGTGTGCAGCTCGAACGTTTTCCACAGGCATATGGATTTTTTACTATGTCCCCAAGAGTTCATGGTGGGAATTTAACACTTTTATGTTACCTCAAAATACCTATGCTATCCCTTTCAATATTATCCCCTTTTTAGTAATAGACTGTATTCTATTTACTATTAAAGCAGGCATGGGATGTGTTTGGATGTGTTGATCAGTTTTCCTGATATATTTTGTCAAAAAACAAGATCAAATACACATTTTAGATTACTTTCTTTTATGAAGTCCTCATATTGTAACAATGCCTATTATGTTAGCAATGACAATGCATCAGTATACTGAGAAAAGCAAACATGGTAGTTCTAGAAACTGCAGTTCCAGGGGGCCCTGGCAACTCACCTCGTAGAGCAGGCGGCACCATGTATCAAGGCAGCAGCCATGAGTTCAACTTCGAACTGTGGCCCTTTGCTTTAGCCCCAAAAAATACAACCAAAAAAAAATATATACAGTTCCTCTGATGGCCACTTGAGGCTGGCTCCAGAAGTAAGTCAATCTCTATAAGGTCCCATATTAAAATGTATCTCTTAAAATGGGTTTTCCTTTTATTAAGGCTTAAAGTTATGTATAATTGAGGGTGTGGCTGCCTTGAGTGACAGGTGTGTGCCATCACAGACTAACCAGGAGCCTGTGGAGTCAGAACTGCCAAGATGGGACTACATCTATTTTAATGATACCATATATGGTCCACACTGGAGCTTAAGATGACAAATTTGATTTCCTCCTAACAATTATGACTGCAAGTAATAGTAAGACTTCAAATATGGAGCTCTCACCCTCAGAATCAAAGAGGTGGGAGTTAATAGTGTTACAGTAATGCCATTTGTTATTTAAAATTAAAGCACATATTAAATACTATATTATCTAAACAGAGAGACATTCAATTCAATTCAATTTTACTTGTATAGCACCAATTCATAACAGAAGTTATCTCAGGACATTTTTCAAATAGAGCAGGTCTAGACAGAACTCGTTATAACATTATTTACAGAGACCCAACAGTACCACCATGAGCAAGCACTTGGTGACAAGGGCAAGGAAAAACTGCCTGTTAAAAGGCAGAAACCTAGGACAGATCCTTCGGCTCTAGGTGGGTGGTCGTCTGTCTCGACAAGTTGGGGTGAGAAAGCGAGAGAGACAGACAGACAGACACAGAGAGAGACAAACAGACAGGTGCACAGCAACAACAGTATTGGCAATGGCAATCTAGCAGGACCATGGGAGGAGGCTCCACCAGGATCCATGAGAACCTGCAAGACGAGAAAACACAAGAACTCCGGGGAAGAAGTGAAGTTAGTAACATGCATTAATGGGACATGAATGAGTGCAGAAAGAGAGGAAGAGAGGAGCTCAGTGCACCATGGGAAATCCCCCGATAGTCTAGGCCTATAGCAGCAAAACTAAGGGATGGTTCAGGACTCACCTGATCCAGCCCTAACTATAAGCTTTATCAAAGAGGAATGTCTTAAGCCTACTCTTGAATGTGGTGAGGGTGTCTGCCTCCCGAACCACAACTGGAAGCTGATTCCACAGGAGAGGAGCTTGGTAACTGAAGGCTCTGGCTCCTGTTCTACTTTTAGACACTATAGGAACCACAAGTAGCCCAGCATTCAGAGAACGTAGTGTTCTAGAGAGGTAATAGGGTACTATGAGCTCTTTAAGATATGAAGGGGCCTAACCATGAAGAGCTTTATAGGTGAGGAGAAGGATTTTAAATTCTATTCTAAATTTTACAGGGAGCCAGGAGGAGATATGTGATCTCTTTTTCTAGTTCCTGTCAGTACTCGTGCTGCAGCATTTTGAATTAATTGGAGCGTTTTAATGGACTTATTGGGGCAACCTGATAATAAAGAGTTGCAGTAATCCAGCCTTGAAGTAACAAATGCATGGATTAGTTTTTCTGCATCTGTCTGTGATACGATGTGTCTAATTTTTTTAATATTACGTAAATGAGAGAAGGCAGTCCTAGAGGTCTGCTTCATGTGGGAATTAAATGACGAATCCTGATCAAAGATAACTCCAAGATTCCTGACAGTGGTGCTAGAGGCCAAGGTAATGCCATCTAGAATAACTATATCTTTAGACAGTGAGTCAAAGATTTTTGGGGCCAAGTACAAGAATTTCGTTTTTTTTCTGAGTTTAACATCAGAAAATTGCAGCTCATCCAGGATTTTATGTCCTTAAGACATGTTTGTAATTTAGATAATTGATTAATTTCATCGGGCTTGAGCGATAGATATAACTGCGTATCATCTGCATAACAGTGAAAGTTAATGGAGTGATTCCTAATAATGTTGCCTAAAGGGAGCATATATAAAGTAAATAGTATTGGTCCAAGTACAGAACCTTGTGGAACTCCATGACTAACTGTAGTATTTATTGAAGATTCATCGTTAACATGTACAAACTGTGAACGATCTGATAAATATGACTTAAACCAGCTTAGTGCGGTTCCTTAAATGCCAATTTGATGCTCAAGTCTCTGTAAAAGAATATTATGGTCAATGGTGTCAAATGCAGCACTAAGATCTAATAATACAAGTACAGAGACAAGTCCATTGTCAGAAGCAATCAGAAGGTCATTATTAACTTTAACCAGAGCTGTCTCTGTGCTATGATGAACTCTAAATCCTGACTAAAAATCCTCAAATAAACTATTGTTATGTAGAAAGTCACACAACTCTTTGGCGAATACTTTCTCAAGAATCTTAGAGAGGAAGGGGAGGTTAGAAATCGGTCC